TCCCTGTTGCCAACCTTGCCTCCACACCCCTCATCTTGCACAAGCAAGCATGTGCATGCACCCATGCATACATGCACATACATACATGCACACACACAAATTCTGTTCTCAAATCAACAGCCTGAGGAATCATTTACAATTTTTAAAAGTCCAAGTCTGATTATATCTCAGTCCTGCTTAATATTAGTTTACCATCATATTCTGTAAGGCCCTAACCTTGTTCTCCACTTTGCACACTGTGGTCCTACCTCACCCTTCCTCACATGAGCCTGGCAGTCAGTTGCCTCAGGGCCTTTGCACTTGCTGTTCCCTTAGCCTATGGAACTCGTCCTTCAGAGAGCCACATGATTCACTCCTTTATGTCCTTTAGAATTCAGGTTCTGTAGGTCTCCGTGCAAATGTCACTCCATCAGAGCCACTCTCCCTGACCATCCTCTGCAAAACAGCAGCCCTTGGCTTCTTCCATCACTGCTTGAATTGTCTTTATACATATATCATTACATGACATTACATTATAAACCTATTTCTTGTCTGTCACCCTCCACCAAAACGTAAACTTTATGAGGGCAGGGGCTTTACACGGATCTCTATTCTAGCGTCAGAACCTAGAAGCAAGCATAGCACAGAGTACGCATATAATAAATATTTGTTAAATGACTGAACTCATCTTTGTATGTCGTCCTGTTTCTTGCCCAGTTCTTTGTTCACATGGAATAGGTGCCTAAGAATTAAATTTTATCTACTTTCCAAAAATTACTTAATATAATCACCAGAAGAAAAACTTCGGTAAGCCACTTTTTCATGGAGAAATAGATCGTAGAGAAATTGTCACAATTCAGCGTAGCCTTTTATTACTTAGTTTTGATATGACAGACTTCAATCGAGCACAAAGTTGATCACATTGAACACTTATTTCAAGGATGGAGTTCAGAAGTGAACCCTGTCAAAGCGCACCGTCTACCCAGGGAGCGCATGTGGCAGGGTCACACTCGTATGGATGTGAAGAATATCAAGGAGGTGCCTGCAAACCACCGCGCCTGTAGCTGGTACATCCAGTTTCAGTGGATATACGGAAAGCCTAAAGCCTCTTCTAATTCCACTTAAATTTTCCTTCTCATCAATGCATTTCTCTCACTTTTACAGTACTGGTTTCTCAGACAGACTTTTGTCCTGTAGTTCTATGTCTTCCATATCAGAGGAAGAAAAAAACTTAAAGCAAAAATAAAACATATACAGAAGCTTCTAATCACCCACTCTCTCTTATTCCACATATTAAGAGGCTGTTTTTTAAAATTCACCTTTTCTTTTGCCATCCAATGTATATATTGATGTCAAAGTAAATGTCTAGGATTGCATACGTTCATTTCATTTATACTTAACCAATTTAAAATGAGCATTTCCACAATACAGTTGATCCTTGAACAACAGGGGTTAGGGGTATCAACATTGCACATAGTCGAAAATCCACATACAACCTCTGACTCCCCCAAAACTTTACTAATAGCCTATGTTACCAGTAACATAAACAGTTGACTAGAGGTTGACTAACACATACTCTGCATGTTATATATTTATACACCATATTCTTGCAAGAAAGCTGGGAGAAGAAAATGTTAAGAAAAACCATAATGAAAAAAATACATTTACTGTGTTTATTGAAAACAAATCCATATATAAGCAGACCCATGAATTTCAAACCCATGTTGTTCAAGGGACAATTGTAATTTAAATGACTTTCTTCTTGTCCTTCAGAATTTCCTTGAATCCCTCCTTTTACACCAGCTCCCTATATTCATTCAGTAGCATCGGTAATATCTTTTGACCTAAAAACACAAACATTAATCATGGTGAATCCTTTTGGTTTTTATTCTACTTTTCTTGCAAAACAGACGAGTACATTTTCTAAGCCAGTGGCTTTGATTCTGTCTACACATTAAAATCACTTCCAGAACTGTTTAGAGAACATGAATGCCCAGGACCCATCCAAGACCAAGTCTGAATCTCTGAGGGCTGGAACCAGGGAGAACTTTTTTTAAAGTCCCCCCAGTGATTCCAATGTGCAGTTATATTTAAGAATCAAAGACCTTAGCACATATAAGTCACAAAAAAATAATGCAGCAATGGAACAGTACTAAGTGGAAGCTGACTTGAATATTATATTACATGACTAGATACAGGGATTATTTTAGATAATAAGGAGATGATTCAAAACCTAAGTTGAATAGGACTTGAAAATATTTTTTAAAATTATTAGTCAAAAGTCAAATTTTTCACACTATCTTCTTTAGTAGCCTATAGCTTAAGAAGTTATGTATTTGCAATATTTTTCCCTTTCCCTGTCTTTTACTGTAACTAAGACAGCAACCTCAAAGAAGGGGGAAAGTCTTTGCTCTTTTTTCCCCGAAGTGTTCTCCTCCGTGGTTTCGTGTGGCAGTGGGTCATGAAGACCGGCACGCTGGGAGATCAGGATCCATGGCACCGAAGGGAATCCAGACATTCCAGACAGAGGGACTGGGTGGTGAACAGGCCTTCAATAAAGCAGCAAGGTAAGGCAAAAATAAGTGAGGTCGGCAGCTAAAATTCAAGGGGAGCTTCCTAGCAAGGGCACTGTGGAAACATTCGGCTTATGGACTGGACTCTGGCACAATATTTCGGTTGCGTTTTGTGACGGAATTTTTCCATCACAAATTGCTTACATGAATTTCCAAATTCAGCATTTCACTGCCCCAAAGTAGAAAGATGTCTATAAAAGAACACACTTAGGTTCTAAAAATGCTTCAGAGCAATCACAATTTGGATAAAGAGATACACACTGATTTAGCTGATGAAACCTCGACTAAATTGACAGAGGTGTTGTTTATTATTTTCTGTAACAGAAATTGATCTTTCCCCAGTTCTGTCATTTCTTGAATAACTTTACTTTATACCATGATCTTCAGTTCAGATGCTTCTTCAAAACAATGGTTGCAAGAATCTGAACTAGCACTGGAAGAAAACAGATTATTTGTAACAAAAAGAGATAGAGAAAATTATAGTATTACATAAAGCATCATGACCACTTCCAAATGATTTAAAAATCTGTTTTAATGATCTCAATTTGCTTTCCTTGCCACATCCCTGAAAATTGCATGGAAATTGGAAGCAGTCTTTTTGAAATAAATTCTAACTTTTCAATGTCTTGATTATATATTAGCCATTTACTTGTATATGTGCATATATATAATTGATTAGTAACTGAACCACTATCTTAAACTAATTAGCAATGTTTCACCAGTTTTAGCACCTCCTAAATGATACACTATCATATAATTTCTAAATCACTATTACTGCTTGGCACCTTTCTTTTATATTAATGGTTAAATATATAATATATATTTTTAAGGTAATGTTTCTAAAACCCTGATACTTCTTTTGAAATTCCTGAGCATTAAGCAGATTAACTTACACTGTCTTGGGAACATTACTGTTTCTTCAGGACTTTGAACATTATATCTATCTAAATTCTGTATGTCTATGTTTACTGTTTATGTATTAGCTTCACTTTTAAAGTAAATGGACATACATTTGTCAGCAGGAGCATCTTTTTTAAGAGGAGTCATGTTTTTTAAAAAGAAATTCCTTTTTTAAAATTTCCCAAATTCAAGAATCTATTGTTTAGAACATAAGACCATAAGTTTTGCTGCAAAAAAAATGGTAACCTCATGTTAAATACTTTGAAAATATTAATATAGACTTTTTTTTTTCCTTTTGGATTGATATCTGGTCACAACGAACAAAGTTATTCTGTGTACACAAGACGTATTCCCTTTTGGACTGTTTTCTCCTTGATCTTCAAGCATAGCCCCCACAGAGGGAAAATGCCAGTAACTTTAAAGAAGATACACACTTTCCCTTTGATAGTTAAAGCAACAAGAATAGGGAGAGAGGGAGAGAGGGAGAGAGAGAGAGAGAGAGAGAGAGAGAGGAGAGAGAGGAGAGAGAGGAGAGAGAGGAGAGGGAGAGAGAGAGAGAGAGAGAGAGAGAGAGAGAGAGGAAAGAAAGACCAAGAGAAGAAAGAAAAGCCTTCTTGCAGAGCCAGGTGTACTACAAAGCTCAATTAGTCCACAGACTGAGGACACTGCTTTTTATAAGTTTTTCCTCCACTGGGAACAGTTTTCTGAATCTTCCCCTCTCTGTTCTCCATCCCTGGGGCCCTAACCAGGATTTTTTCTTTTTTTGCTTGTGAGAACAAAAACAAGTTGCCAGGAAAGGAGTTATTGGTGCATTTCACCGAGGGTTTTCTATTTTCAGTAAAGTTTACGGTTTTCCAAATGGTTTCCAGTTGTCCCCAGACACGCAGAGTCACTAGGCTCCCTCTAGACCTTTTGGGGAATCAATTTCATGAAAACTTTGAGTGCTCTGTACCCAAAGGAACTATGCCGAATTTCACATTTGATTCTACATCATTTGCTGACCCTCAAAAGCTGATCTTTGGACCCCATGTTAAGAAAAATGTTTGTCTAGAGTTAAGGCAAGGAACCCTAACACCTTTAAAGGGTTTCAAAGCCGCCCCTTCCACCCCCCCACCCCCGACCTTGCAAGGCGAGTTCTTGACTTGGCCAGTGGAAGCTCGGACCTTGACCAGAGTAGGTGGATCCCTGCTACCCACTGGCTCTGATCAGAGGAAAAGTTAACTTTCTGCTCCTTGCATTTCTCCAATGCCCATCCTATATGCGTCGGACTTGACCAGGAACAAAGCCTCGCCACCTGAGGCCAGGCAACACAAGTGTGTAAAGAAAGCCCCCGGGCACCACCGGTCGCCGCACACAAACCCACCTTAAGGACCGGCCAAAGCTCCCCAATAGACTTTCTGCTGATTTGATGAAAACCTCCGGCGCCTGGTCTCCTCCTAGTACCGAGAGCATACTCCGAACCCAGCCAGTGCGGGGTCCACCACTGGGGCTCCCCTAAGCCTCAAGACCTCTGCAGGAGGCGAGGCATCCTTCGCGGGGCGTCCTTACCTTGGGGTTGGTCAGGAGCTGGTGCTCATCGCTGTGCAGCAGTGCCCTGGAGTTGGACTCGGAGTTGTTCACGTAGACCTGCACGCAGGGGTACTGCGAGGTGCCCCTGCAGTCGGCGCCACAGGTGAAGGTGCACTCGAACACCTCGCCGATCTGCTGCACCGACAGCACCGTGCAGTTGGCCGCCGTGGCTTGCAGATCCTGCAGCGCGGGACTGAGCCAGCAGAAGCCGAAGATAAAGAGCAGCACAACGCCGGAGATGATGAGAAACAAGCCCAGCCGGATGCTCTTGTCCTCGGCTTCGGTGTACTCGTAAGCCACCCGGAGCTTCGCCATCGCCCCCCACTCCCGGCGGCTGGCGCGCTCCCCCCGCCCCCTCCCGCCCCCGGCGCCGAGCCCGAGAGCCTCGGGCGGGAGGAGCCGCCGCCGCCGCCGCTGCGCGACAGCAGGGGAGTGGGCGGCGAGGGGGAGCGCGCGAGAACAAAGGGGCCGAGGCCGGCGGCGCCCCCGGAGGCGGCAGCGCCCTCACCCCCAGCCCCGCCGCCGCCCGTGCCCCGGAGGCTCGCGGTGCAGCCGCGGCTTCAGAGCCTCCCGCACCCTCGGGCGCGAGGAGCGCACCGGCTGCTCCTGCCTCCAGCGCCCCCTGCCAGCCTCCGCCCGCGCGCGTTCCCCGCCTCCCCCGCCCCGCCTCCTCTCGCCCGGCGTCTCCCGGTCTTCATCGCCCGCCTGCCGCTGCTCCGCGGACTCGCCCGGCCAGCTGCCCCAGGGCAGCAGCCGCAGAGTTGGGGCGAGCGGGGCAGGGGGGCATCCCCGAACCCGAGGCGACTCCGCCCAGCCGCTGCCGCCGCGGGCCCGCCCTCCTGCCCCGCCCCGCCCCGCCCCGCCCCGCCCGGGGGCGTCTCCCGTGGGCGCGGGGCTGCGAGCGCCTGGCTTGGCGGCTGGTGCTCGGGATCCTCGTTAAATTCCTTTGGAGAGATGAACGCTCAGGTTCAGTGTGGCCTAACTAGAGTGAAAGTTAAAAAAAAAGAAAGAAAGAAAGGAAAGAAGGAGAAGGCATAATGCAAGCGCAGCGGCGGGAATCTTGAACCTCGAACGGGGATTGGTCAGCCGGCCGGGAGAGTAAGACGGCGGCCAAGCAACGGGCGCTCCCCGGGAAACCGGCCGCGGGGACCGGGCGGACTGGGGTGCAAGCCCCCGCGAGCGGCAAGCGCTGGGGTGCGCCCGAGGGACCTGCCACCAGTTCCCACGTTACGGGCGGGGCGCGGCGGGGCGGGGGGCGTGACCCCGCCGCACACCTCCTCCCTACCCTCTGCACAAGCAGCGAGCGCGGTAACGTTCTGGCCGCGGGGTCCTGGAGCCCCCAACCGTCCCGGCCGCAGGCCCACGCTCTGCAGCCCCCAGGGCGCCAAGATAGGAGTGAGAGAGGCTGAATCAGACAGGGTTTGCGGTGCAGGGAACCGCATGGGGGACAGGGCCCTAAGACTGGCAGGACCAAGGAAACTCGCTGCCTGGATCCTGGGTGGACTTCGCAGCAACTTAGGTCTCCTGCAGCTGGTTGACCCTAATTCGATTTTCCCCAAGGCCGGGACCGAGTAGGAAAATAGGTGAAGAAGCTTGCAGCCCTGGAAGGATACACTACTCTTTTCTTTAGGGCCGTCCCCTCTCTTCCGGACTCCCCAGATCAGAATCCTTACTGTTCAGTTTCCCTCCTTAGGAGTCGTCCTGCTCCAGGATTTGTCGATGAGGTTTCCGCAGCGCTGTACAAGGCGACAGCAGCGTGCAGACCCATTTTGGGACAGGTACTGTTTCTAGAGCTGCGTTCAGCTCTCTTAATTCTTAGGGTTGCTCTGTCACCCCCACCTTCTCGTGCATACCTTCAGCCTCTATTCATGACTATTTTTTTAAAGTTAAGATTACTTTTTTTTCAAGCCACACTTCTGTCATAAGATTAAACTCGAGAAGTTTTCGACCTCTTTAAAGAATCAGAATGTTCACTTATTTGCAAAATATATACACATATCGTTTTCTTGATTTGCAAGTCCCAAATTAATATACGCTTGAATCAGTTATGTTCCTGATGAATATGGAAAATACCCAATCGTGGAATTCTTAACTTTCTTGGATTTCAAATGTTACTTAACTGGTATCGAGTCCCTTTCAGTTGCATTCGATGTTATTTTGAAGTACTACATTCCACTGGGGTAGGTAACCCTTCTTCCAAGCCAGGGGCTAAGCAAGTTGTTTTTTTTTTTAACAACACATTTTTATTGTTTTATTTTAATATTTTTTTCTTTATTGATTTTAGAGAGAGAGGAAGGGAGAAGGAGAGAGAAATATCGATGAGAGAGAACATCGATGGCCGCCTCCTGCACGCCCCCTACCGGGGATCCGACCCACAACCTGGGCATGTGCCCTGACAGGGTATCTGAAGCAGGGACCTCTTGGTGCATGGGTCACCACTCAACCACTGAGCCACACCAGCCGGGTTTAATGCAAGTTTCATTACAGGAAGACCCTAAGTGTTTTTCTGAATAAATTAAGAAGATGGGGGGTTTGGAAAATTTTCAAGTCAGGAAGACTTTTTTTACTTCAATATCTTTCAAGTTTTGAGAGAGTAGATTTCCTTCTTCCTTTATCTAGTAATGATACTACTGCCTTCCCTTTCTGTTGGCATAAAGAAAATTTGTTAGTGATTGCATTAACTAAAAGGAAAGGTGAATTTAATGGTTGAAACAACTTAACCTGATATGGTTCTCCAGTCTGGATCCCTTTCCTACTTCAGGTTATAATGATACTCCTTTTCAGGAAGGCTAAAGCCAGTCTACATCTGAGACAGTGGTGAGATCCAGTTATTCTAGCTTGGTATGCTAAGTAACCTAACCTTGAGGCAGAATAACTACTATTAGTGCTCATAAAACACAGGGATGGGGTGTCTAAAAATAATTTAATGAATATGATTCATTTTTCAATGATTTCAGAGCTCGAAGAGGTCTGTGAATGAACCCTCTACCTCAAAACTGAAGCAAGATGGTCTTCTAAGACTAAAAAAATAAATAAATAACAGAAACTTCTTAATTTAACCTTAAATATTCAAGGGCTTTCAAATCCTTCTTTGAGTTCTTCATTTAGTAACTCTCCTTCCTTTAATGATTCTTAAAGTATTTGAAGAAACTGTTGCCATCTAGCCCTCTGTTCTTTAAACATCTTCTTTCCTTCCCTGATTTCCTATGTTTAAATTAGATGGTTTCTCTTCTGAACCCTCTCCTCATCATCATGTCTTTCTTATTGAAAGTCAAATGTATCAAAAGACTTCCCAAATTAAATCAGTTTTTAGTTTATGTCAAGGTTGTGGTTTCCATCCCTGATCAGGGCACATAAGGAATCAACCAATGAATGCCTAAGTAAGCGGAACAACAAATCTCTCTCTTGCTCCTATCTCCCCTCTCTCTAAACTCAATTAAAAAAAAAAACAACCTGATGAAATTGAAAATAAATAATGAAAGCATGAATGATCCAACAAAGGAAATCTTATAGAAAAATTCTAATCTTTTCTTTTTCATTCAGTTTATGTAATTGTAGATTTTGTTACTGTCACAGAAAATCATTTCCTTTTAATTTGGTCTTAACTTAAAAATGTGTATATTGTATTAAATCATTTTCAGCTTACTGATATCAAGAAATTAACTTTCTTGCCCTGGCTGGTGTGGCTCAGTTGGTTGAGCATCATCTCATGCACCAAAGGGTTGCAGATTCGATTCCTGATTAGGCACATGTTAGGGTTTCAGGCTACATCCCCAGTTGAGGGTGGGCAGGAGGCAGCCAAGTAGGATGTTTGGCTCTCGCAATGATGTTTCTCTCTCAAAAATCAATACAAATATTTTAAAAATAAATGAACTTTTTTGATATGTTTCACTGTAAATGTTAAACATTTGTTATTAGCCTCATAATTTTAAATACATTTCTTATGTGGCCACTGTTTTTCTAATTATTCAAAATATTTTCCTGTCCATAAAGCTTACTTATTATATTGAATATATAATTATTATGGAGAACTACTTCCTATTTCTAGATATTTATAATCATAAGAGGAGGGGACCTTAAATATCACCTAGTTCAAAATTACATAGGAGAGAAAGCTTCCAAAGGCTTTGCATTTTGTTTGAAATATTAAATAATGATTAAAAACATTTTTTAAAGTTCAGATGTGTTTGCATACAGCCTTTATGTTTGCAACTGAGAAAGGAAAGCAAAGAGCACAAATAATCACTTCTTATTAGTGAAGTCATAGTAGTGGGAGTGCTGGCTAGCTATGGAAGACACACACACACACACACACAGTAAAAGGAAATCAGCTTTGGAATTAGAAAGCAAGAAGCTAAGAGGTTTTGGTCTGAGTATTAACAATAAATAGTTTGCTATAAGCTAAATAATTGATGTTCTTAGATTATATCCTCCTCATACAAAAGAGTTGGACTAAAAGATAGTTTTAATATTCTATGATTTTTATTCCCAGTTGATTTTTGTTCTTGCCATATTATTTAAAAACTTGGATATTACTATCTAACAGCCCTAGTCAAGTTAAAATGTCTTTTAATAATTCCAAAATATAGAGAGCACTTTCTGGTATAATGACTATGGAAGAGTGTTTGTCTTTGGAGAAATTGACCTGCATCTATTGAACACCTAATATAAACAAATGCCCTAATTTATTCTTCCCATGGGATGAAGGAGGAACAAAATACTAAGGAACCTTTGCAAACCTGCACACATATTGGCAGTGCCAGATTACAGTGCCCATTCTTTTTCTATAATACTATGCTATGTCTAACAAATTTATTTAGTAAAAAAGAGGTGTAGGTAATACAGATTTAAAATGTGCTTATATATTATATTCAAGTATAGTTAGGCTTGATAAAAATTCACCTTGTGAAACCTGCCTAGAAGGGGGCTGTGGTGAGAGGACGAAGGAGCTAATGATTGACTCTGGTCCTCCTGTTCAGTGTTATGTACTCTCAATCACTTGGGTGGAAAACAGCTTTTTAAAATGCAGAGCAAATATAAGCAGTACAGTTTTACGCAGGAGAGGAAAATCAAGTGTAGTGTTTAGGTTTCAGAGAGGCTTGTTAGAAACTCAAACTAGATTCAAAATAGAAGTAAATACAGGGAAACACCAGATGTTAATAAAACGAGTAATTAAATAGTTCTAGAGTAGAAAAAAGCCCATCTTCCTAGCGCAAGAAGTCACCTAAATACTTCTAAGTTTTCTTGCCTTTGGACATTTCCAGTGATGAAAAATTCATTAGCTCCTAATGCTACCCATTTGATTTTTAGACCTTTAAAAGAAGTATGTAGTACTTTGTTGTAAATTAAAATCCGCCTTGCCATAATATCCATATAAAGGTTGTTATTCTGCCCTCTGGTGTTATGTAGGATAAAATATAATCTTCTTGGTCAATAACTCCACTTCAGATGTGGGAAGACAACTATCATGTCCCTTCTAGGCCTTTTTTTTTCTTATGCTAATCTTCCATTTCTTCAGTATTCTCTTTTGATATTTAGAAAACTAAGATCTGCCTGGCCGGTTTGGCTCAGCGGTTGGAGCATTGGCCTGCGGACCAGAGAGTCCTGGGTTCGGTTTCCACGAGGGGCACGTATCAAA